ACAAGGTGTGGAAGAGTAAGCCCCACTTGAGCACAGCATTTACCACCCAAACATTTTGAAAATCATGGGAGGATTTATATATTCAAGTTGCAATCACTAAGCATTGCTTTTGTTTTCTGCTATTTTAGGCTGCAGGAGGAGAAGATAAAATTTCAACTGAATTTGACTTTCCACTTTTTGCTAAAACAAGGACAGGTAGAATTTGAAAGTACTGAGATCCCAGATTACGCTGATGCCATTTTCATTAAAAAGAGTGTTATTGAAGAACTGAATTGCAATATCATGGTAATTTACGAGGGAGGAAGCTTAAGTTTCTTAAATAAAATATTGTCTTTCAGAGATTGGGTTTTTTTTCTGTAATATCTAGTTTCAAAGCAATAAGGTCAACTGTAAACTACAAGATGGTGAGAATTTTGTAATGTCTTTTATTATTATATATAGATTGCAACATGGACTGCTTTCTTTATGTTTGATCAATACAATTCAGATGAATGAAACAGTTTTTAGACCTACTATCACTTACATGCTGCAAATAGAAAATATTACTATTACAGGCACAAGCCCTAAAATTCCCTCAAGGCAAACATACAGTCATGTTGAACCTTAGGTTACAGTAAGATTTAAAAAAGTAATAATGCAACTTTTAATATAAGGTTTCAAGTGTAAGTATCACTTTCACAGTTTTTCATACTCGCTAATGTTTTTATTAGGCATTCTACTATAAGTTTTTATTTTTCATGCTCCTGCACAAATAATTCAGTAATAACTACAGAGTACCTTAAGTGTGTATTTTGCAGAGGTGAAATGCTATAATGTTCTTGTAAAATATAAGAAGATGAAGTGTGATGTTATTTGTAGTTTTTGTTGTAATTTTCCTTCTGTGATCCAAGGCTGTGATGTGGGACACAAAAGGGAATAAAATTCCACAAAAGATAGCCATCTAGAGCATCTGGAATTAGTGTATTCTATGGTGTATTTTCCTTACTTAATCTAGTAACTTTGGCACCTTGCCCTTGTTGCAACTAATTATTTCATAACCCATGAAATGTGTTAACTAAAAATAATCTCTATTTTCAGGATCAAGTAGAAAAAAAAATTGCTAGCATGGTGGAATGCAAAGAATTCTCTAAGGGGATATTTCAGCTGGAATGGGAGCACAAGAAAATGAGAATGCAAATAGAAGATCTGAATCAGAAAGCTCGGGATATTGCAACATTACCTATTACCAAAGATCGCCAGCTAGTGAGTTATTTTCTCTAAGTTACATTTTGACCACAGTGAATTTTGTTTCACAAAGCTTTTATCTATTAATTTGGTGGGTTGGTACCGTGAAAGGATGAATGTTGCATCTACAGAAATCTGTCTACTGCCTATTTTTGACTGCCCTCTGTGCTTAGATAACCTTATAAATAAAAGTATAGTTTGGTGTTTTGCTGTTGCTTTAAAAACAAACAAACAAACAACAAAAAAACACAATTTGTTCAGTCTTTGTTTGCATTAAATCATAGAAATCATGCTGTTTAACAACTGTATGGTATAGTATTCCTGCAGCATCAAAACCTGTCTTTAAAATGTCCATTTATGATGACAAGTAAGGTTTTTTACTGCAGAAAAGTACACTGAGTTTTTTTTTTGTTTGTTTGTTTTAAATTTCACAATTTAACAAACAGGCTTGACAAGCTGATTTATTTGTTTTTCATTCTCAGTTCCTAACCATGCTGGACTATGATAGCCACATTGCCCACCGCATCGCAGTGATGGAGCAGACTCTTGGTGTCATGGATAAGGTGAACCACCTCCTTTCAGAGACATATCCTAACTGTTCTGTGTTAGGAAAAACGCTTTTAAGGAATGATGGTAACTGATGTAGCCATACTAAACTCTTCAGCTAGCTCAAGGACTGTTGAAATGTAACCACAACAGTACACACGGATGAATATATGAGGGCTGATGAAGACATGAAAACAATGCTTCCTATGTTATTATGTTGGTCCATGATGTCAGAGGTGGATGTTGGTAGAATGGCTGTAGAGGCTGAACCTTCCTACCAATATTCTGCTATGTGTTGTTGCCATGGGACAGATGGCAGCAGAGGGGCAGTCTGACAGATTGGCATCTGACAGGGAAGCAAAGGTGTGTCATTGAATTCTTTCATGTGCAGAAGAATGGCACCCACTGACAGTCATTGATGCTTGCTGAATGTTGATGGAGTCCAAATAGTGGATGTGAGCACAGTGAGGTGGTGGGTGGTGTGTTTCAGTGGTGGCAGCAACAACAGTGGGTCACCTCATATGAGCATAGCATGCAGGCACTTGTTCATCACTGGTAAAAACGCACAGCTAATGGAGGTGAATTTGTTAAAGTGCATTGTAGCTGAGAATTTATCAAATAGTGCTGTTATGCTCTCTGCATCTGTTGAATTTCCATTACTTTTGGAGCAACCAGTGTGCTATAGCTATGTTGTTTATTTATCTGTCTTTCAATAGTTTCAACTTGCCACGAGCCATCATAGCAGCACTGTAGCCAGTAGCCAGCTAGAAAACTCTGAAGTCTTTGGAAGCAGTTGGGCATGAATCTACTTTGTTCCTAGAATTAAATGTCTTCCTTCTTGAAAATCTGAACGCAGACCTTCTTAACACTTCTTACAGATCACTGTCTATAAAAGTCACTATTCTATTTTCTAATGAAGTCTTGTATCAAATCTTCACTGCTTAGTGTTTCTCTCTAGCAGCAAGTCTGTTTGTAGTATCACTGCCTTCCTATATTCAAAATAACACAGACACAATTAGTTCCTTACTTATTTTAACATTTTATGGCTATTCTTGTTTTTAAGGGATTCCACTGGATTTTCTGCAGCTTACTGTAAATGACATCAGCTGCCATTTTCTCTAAGTTCCTCTTCAATCTTCAGTATTGACTTTATCCCTTTGCAGCCCTTCAGATGTCTTCAGCATGGCAGCCCTACCTTCTGCAGCATCTGGCAGCCAAAGAGAACTTTCAATGCACTGGTTTCATTGACTTCCTTTTCCTGCTTTGCCTGTTCTGCATTTAATCTTTCTTCTTGACCCATGCATTTTTCTTCCTTGTCTGCTACTCCTATTTAAACACTCTAAAGCATACTGAAATAGTGTGAAAATAAAGCTAGAATGTGCTACTGGTCAGATCCAAATACATGGAAATAAACAGAGCTAATATGCAGTGTTGAAGACTATAGGCTTTCATCCAAAGTTTTAACAGCTTTCATATAATCTCATGTATTTGTTTTATTCATTTGGAAACGCACAGCTGCACAAGAAGAATATGAAGAAACATCAGAAGAGAATTAAAGAGTTGGAGAAGTGCATCAGTTTAAAAGAGCAAGCAAACTATGAGCTGAGCCTTGACCTGAAGGAAATGCTTGTGTCTGTTTCAGAAAGGAGGCATATCTATCAGGCAGCTGGTGAGTTGCAGTAATGCACTTTAAGTCACAAAGAACATTTAGAAAGTATCTCCAACATTAGACAGTCCTGTTCTCCATCAGCATCCTAAAGCGCAAGGAATGTTTATTTACTATTTCACATGCATAATTAGCAGTACTTCTACCACGACAATCTTAACATTGTTTACATAAGAACATTCCTACAGATGGATACTGTTGTAACCGAAGTTGATTTAATTACTGAAAGTCAAAATATTACAGCCATTAATATCTTCATTATACAACAGACCTTTATTTGTAAGACTGTCCAACACACTTCTTTTCACATACTTAAAGGAACAGAGGAACTAAAAAGGATATCCCTTATTAGGAAAGCTATATAGTTCTTCCAAATGTCAGATGATTAGTTTCACAGCATTGGGTATTTGTTAAATAAAGGAAGTGCAGCCAGTGCCTTTTAAACTTTTTTTTATTCACTACTATAAAGACCATTAAACCCAACTGTGAGCCTTTTTGAAAAATGTGTGCTGCTTTTATACAGAAATTGGAATGACCCTTGAGCAAGTCCAATACATTTGTAGACTATGCATCCACTTTATGTATAGGCTGACTCATATATTGTTTTATGCAGACATGCAGCATATTTCTGAAAGGAATGCAAAGCGGCGTTACCAGGAGATTTTGAAGCAGAAAGAGCTGCGAGGTCTCATAGAGGAACAGGAAAAACACCTTGGAATTCTTCAAGCAGAAGCTGAAAGATTAAGATCGAAAACATTCCCTATTCTTTAAAAATCCCAATCCTGGTAGATATACAAGAATATAAATTTGGAAATCTACCTTTTGTCTCTGCACTTGTCTTTCAGCAAATATTTTCTTCTGGTACCATCTTCTGTTCTTCTATTTCTTCTCAAATAACATCACTTTGAAGGATACATGTTTGTTTCATACATTTTGTACCTTGTCTTACCTACATTTTTTTTCTTTTGTGATGCATTTCTGCTCTTTTGATTATATAAACCATATAGCTTATTACAGAAAGTAACTGAAAGATTATCTTGTAGGAATGATAGGAATACACCTATTCTATTTCCTTAGAATGCAGTTGTAGGATATTGTGAAATACTGCAAGAAAGCAGTAAATCTGCATCTGCCACTTGCCTCCCTTTTCCACGCTTCGTGTCAGTTTTTCTTACCTTTAATAAATTCCCATAAAATCTAAAATTATTCCTCTGTGAGAGTATTAATAGCTTTGATATCTTGATTCAGCAAAATCCTATACCTGTAATGAAATGTACTTCTGTTGTGACTGCATTACAAACACTTCTGCTTAATCGCCTCAGAGGATTTTAAAGGATTCTAAATACATCTCCATTCTTCCTGCATGCTTTTTTGCTTCTTGCTGAAACTTCCTTAGAAACAACAGAATTCCAAACTCTCTAAAGGTCTTAGGAAAAAGAACTGCCCCCAAAAGGAAGTCCCATCATCTTGTTTCAGTAAGTTAAAGAGGCAGAAGAAATGAATTATTAGTACCTAAAATGTGATCAGTAATATATGTTGTTCTTCATTAATTCCCAGTGGGCAATGCCACTCAGTATTCCTGAAAGTAAACTGTGGCTACAAACTTCAATTTAATGAGCCCTAACAACATTAAAACAGACTATTTCATCTGTGTTTTTCTTTCCACTTCCCTTGGGGTATGGACAAAATTACTTCCTTATTAATGAGTAATTGCCACATATAAAGAAAGCAGTTAAACTACAGCAAATAAGGAATGGGGTTGTAGTTAAAAATATTTACAGCAGGAAGCGTGGTAGATCAAGTACAGGTCTATATACTGTTACAGTGGATAAAAGAAGGAAAACAAAAGCAGCCAAGTCACCACACTACATACATAGAAGTGAGAAAATAAGCAATTTCAAGTTGAAATAATAAGAGTAAAACATTTTGAGAAGGCAGTGCTTATTGGAGAAGGAATGAAATGCTGGAGTTTTCTTTAGTGTTACTGCAGAAAGGTAAATGATGCTGTAATTGAAGAACCTTGGAGAGAGAATGCCTCAGCTCTTAAATGAGCCAATACAGTAGACAGATGGTAATTACATTTTTTTTTTTCTGTTACCAAAAGCTGCTAGAGTTCCTCTAAAAACAACTGTCTGGACGAGGGTCAGTGCCATTATATTTCCCTTAGATGTTCTTAATAGCTTTAATTATTGCTAATTGCAGTTCCAGAATATTAACACAAAAATTATCTTTACCTGACTTGCAAAATGACGTCATTAACTGGCAGCAGGAATAAGTTTGGAAGATGAGGATGTATCTATGAACAAAGAACTGAACCCTTCTCCCCATCTAAACACCAACAGAAGTGACAGTTGATTTGAACTTGCATTCTGTCTTAAAACCATGAAGACTAACAGGTACAAGGCAGACAGCTGTTTGATTAAAGTATTACTTGATTTCATTTTATTTAAAATAATCACTAACCAAGCTCTCTAGCCCGTTTTCCAAAACAGTCTGCATAAATTCAGTTTTCACTATAAAGTAATGGTTTTTACAGCCTACCATGTTTAAGTATGCAGTTTCACAAGCTCTGATGAGAAACTCTCACCAAAACAAAGAAGTGTTGATCAGACAATGGATTTTATCAGTCCATTCAGTCTTTTTTGCTGATGCATGTAATTGAAAGCTTTGCACCAGTAGGTTACGTGTCCACAAAATCTTCTTCTGTTCTGCTGTAGTGCAGTAAGTGGTCTTCCAATCCAAAAGTATCTATCAGCTGACTGAGACTCACTTTCTTGCCATCTGCAGAAAAGGCAGACTGCAGCTCATACAGCATCAGCTGGGTACTGCTTCTCCATTTTACTATCAAAGCCTGCAGTTCAGACAGGTTGTTCTAGAATTGGGATTAAGAAAAAAATAATCAGCAACATTTCTGCAAATGAAAAATGCTTTTAGTACCCTGCAAATCTATTTTTATTAAATGGTTTAAACTGAGCTAATATACAAACACTACACAATTAAATGTGGCTTAAATCAATAAGTAACAACACCATTCAATTTCTCTTCAAAGAGTGATTTAGAAGGGCTTTCTAGAGGTCATCCTTACCTTAGATCGGTACATCTTGACCAGTTTGAGCCTTCGAAGTAGCTCTTCCTTATCTTTCACTTGTTTCATCAGCCTTACTTTTTCTTCTAGGGACTGCTGCTGACTAACATCAACCCTTACCACGTTCTCTGCTGATTCGCAGAGATTGTTTTCCTGTAAAGGACTTTTGAAATAAGTATTTACAGTGCAGTTTCTTTCCGGGCATTCAGAACCATCTTGTAATGTGGAACAATCCATGCCTATCTTTGGCAGACACCCACTGTCAACATCTGCACAGTCTTTTTCTTCAGTATCTACCTTGAGCCGCTTTGCCACTGTAAAATTAGCATTAAATGAACGCCTTGTTTTCCTTAATCGTTCCCTTAGAGTTGCACTCATTGGCTAAAGAAAATGAAGAACAAGAAAAAAACACTCGTCTTCAATCAAATTTCAAAGAACATTTTATCCATACAGAATATGTCATTAGTAAAGACAACTGTAAGACAGACTTCTGAATTGTCACCGTCTTTTGCAAACGTAAAAGTTAACCTCTTCCTTTCAGGTGTGTTTGCACACAGCAACAATTTACTAAAAATATATATCTGTATTGCCTTGTTTATTTATATACGTGCGTGTGTATAATCCTTAAAGTAAACCCTCATTAATGCACTTAGTCTTTGTGCAAAGACACATGGCATAATTCAACTTGGCTATTTCCAGCTAGTTCCACTTCTCCTCTTGTTTAATGGAGATAAGGATTTTATTTTTTTCTTAACATTGCATCCTACCACACACACACTTCCTCTATTAGCACTAGTATAAAACATCTATATACTACTTAAGAGTATCTGTTAACTTGTTTTTAAGTGTTTGTTTTTAAGGGACTTAAAGGCATGAACAAGTCAAAACTATATACATAAAAACTATATACATAATTTGCAATTTAGCCTCATCCAGCATAGTTCCAGTTTACACTGATACGCACTATGGCAAAAAAAAAGAGTGCTTCACTATAGTGCGTGGGAGGAGAAACACCAAAGCAGAGAGTGCTATTTTCAAATGCAAGTAGAAGTCACAGGAGGTCACTTTACATATATGGGAACCAGGAAAAGTAGGACCTTTAAGTTTCTATACCTGTTTTCCTGAACTAGTCCTCTGTGGAGCTGCTGTCCCAGAATCCTTTGGTGTATGGCACAAAGACGTCAATTTATCACACGCTGCTTCCTCCATCTCAAGGCAGATAGCAGTTCCTGTTGAAAAACAAATTGGGTGCTGCTGTTCTCACCTGATTATAGCGAGCCACGTGGCTGCAGAAATAAGTAAAAAGCTCTGGTAAGAAATACTAGGGTTTATTTTCTAATGGTTACAAACTATTACAGAGGAGCAAGAGAACTTATGAACCACTTGGACTTAGTATGCCTGTAAATCAAAGGTCAGATCCTACAACATCAAACTCATCAAAAACCCTTACTCCAAATAAACTGTATTTTCTTAACCTCAGTGATCCCTGCTGCATGTCTGACTTAAAGGCACAACCTTTACAAAGCCAGGTTGTTCAGAACCAGTCCATTCATTGAAGGGCAGCCGGAGCAGCGATAAAGGATTGCTGGGAGCCACAAGATTTTTGTAGTCCATCTGTGTGATCAACCTTTTCCATTAAAAATAGTAACAGGGTACTCAGATGCATGAAATAACCCACTGCCTCGTTTCATCCTTCTGGGGATGCCGCCACACAGCTGGAAATTTAGAGTCCAAGTCCACATTCCCCGTATGCTCCTGAATGGAAGCGGCACACCTCTCAGCACGAGCCAACAGTACATTGATTTCAGCGTGACTTCGCACAGCGCTCATGAGCCACCTGCTAATGACCGAGCTGCAGCCGCAGCCTCAGCTTACCTAAAAACTGTAACTAGGAACCTCAAAACGGAATTCCCTTTAAAATCCTGCAAGCAATCCCGCTCCTCAGAGCTGCGCTTGGCACGCCGGGCCGGCCCCTGGCGCTGCCTGCCCGCCCACTTACGCCGCGGAACCGCGTTCGGCAGCTCCCCCCAAGAGGCCTTCCACCCTCTAGAGAAGCTAAGGAAGGAGGAAGGCCGGGGTTCAGCAGCCCGAAGAGAAGAGCAACCCGCAGGAACCACCCGTCGCTGCGCCCCGCGCCAAGCAAAACAATGCACGCAGCTCCTCACCGAGCCGAGCGACCCGCCGGCTGCGCTTCAATTTCCCGCTTCCGGGCAGTGGGCGGGGCGCGAAGGGCTGCGAGCGGGGAAAGGCGGAGTGAGGCTCGTGTGCGTGGTGCGGGAGGGCGCGTTAAGGTTGTGATCGGGCGGATGCAGGCCCGCATCCGTCGTGGAGGTGCTGGGCGGGGCCGGAGTTGTGGAATACCCAGTGCAGGATATCTGCGTAGATCCGATACGCGCTTACCGCTGCAGCTGGGCTAGCTTGCTGCGTCTGCTAGGCCAGCATGGACACGCTGCCTTCTGGCCGAGGCCTTGATCGAGACTGGCCGCCATCTTGCTGCACGTACTCCTGCCTCAGGGAGAGGGGTCTCAACATGGCGCACTCCACGGCGCAGTGGTAGGCTGAAGTCTGACTGGGATTTCAGCACTGCTAAGGGAGCCGCGGCTCTGCTTCCCACAAAGCACCTTCTACATCAGATGCTGTCTCCTCATAGAAGGGGAAAAGCTGCACGCTTCCCAGCAGACTTTCATATTTCACTATACTGATCTGTATAGGATTTATTTATTCAGCACAGCTGTGCCAGGACTGAGGAAACGATCAAAAATGACCATAGTGGTGATTGCTCCCACTTGTATCAGGCCCTCTTGCTGCATTGGTCACAGCTGAGCACATGGAGCAGGCACACCTGCACAGAGATTGTAGGTCGTGCTCTTTATTTCTGTAGCAGAATGGCAGTAATTTGTTGCCTGATTGCTCTGTGCAGCAATAGAGGAGGATGCTGGGCTTCCATCTATGTGGAGACAAGATAGCACTGAGATGAGTAAGCTCAGTATAGGAGACATTAGTTTGACCCTAGGCATGCTTGCTTATTTCAAATAGAATTTTATAGTGACAGTAGAGCCTTTTTCTCTCAGAACGTTAACAGTAAAGGTATCAAAGCATTCACAACCCTTTTGTGAGTTGGTCTGGGAGATCGGAACGCCATTAGATTACTTGACTGTGTGAAACAAATGTTTAGCCACATGGAATATTAGCGAATATGTATTTACCAAATGTTTGAAGTTAGGTTATGTAGTTAAACCATATGATCAGTTGTAACTGTGCAGCAAAAACACAATGTCGTATCTCCCCTGTTGCTTGAGGCAGTTGTGAGGCGTTTTTAAACTTTGGTGTGGCCTGGTGCTTTTGATAGTTTATTACAGCTAAACTCATGTCATATATTTTAAAGTATGTTAAAAAAAAAAAAAAGTGGACTTTTCAAGTGAAGTAGTGAAATTGCTCATGGAACTCCTGCAAATGGATCAATTCAGCTGAATTTCAAATGCACTGGAGCTTTGAGACAACATGTCTCCAACTTCACAACATGTTTCCTTCTGTCTCAGGGATGGTCCCATTTTAAATTACTCATGCTCTGTTGCACAGACACGCTAGCAGTTGAGTTGCACAAGAACAACAGAAAGCTTAAGATTTTAGATCGTTTGCCAGCTGAGATTCCAGTAAGATTTTACAAGAACATAACGCATGAAAAAGTCATCTCGTGTATTATCATTGCTGCCTTATTAGAGCAACGCCCATGTGCCCCACCCCAGGTAAGGATTCCAGTGAGCTTGAGACTGTAAATATTGAAGGATGGCTCCACATGTAAGGTTCATGTATTTAACGTAATGCAGAGAGGAGAGAAAAGGAAACTATTATCAGTGTTCACTGATAGGTAATGGCTCTAGGAGGAGGTTCTGCTTGAGATTAGTGTTAAGTGTTCAGCTGTGTGCACGAAGTTTTTATATGGATTTACTTTGTGCTTACATGCGTGAGCAGTCTTGCAAAAGCACGTGACTGGCTGAGGATTGGGCAGGAGGCCTGGGACTGCGCTGGGAGCTGGAGTCATCTCAGTCTCTGTCCAGAACTTTTATTGCAGAAATGCAGTAGTATTTGATAATTGTGTTATCCACATCTTAACAACGGCAAACAGAAGTCAGACCAACATCTTCCTCTCAAAAAGGAAAAAGAAATTATCTATGTGTTACCATACCAGCACGTCTATGGCATGCTGTAGAGCATTTTGCAACAGTTCAGTTAAGCTCACCAATATGTGCATACAGTTAAGCATTATAATAGCTGTTGTTTGATTACTTTTTATTCATTTTGTGGTCAAAATAGTTTGAGTTATGCAAAATTAAAGAAAAAAATTATAGGAAATTGAGCACTGGGTAATACAGTTAGTGAGATGTGTTTGCTGAGCATACCTTCAGAGGAAAGCAGAGAAACTTGTTTCCATGAAAGACATCCCTGAAAGCTTACTACTTGGTTTTATTTGTTTTTCCAGTGATGAGGCTTTATTGATTGGATTTTTTCAGTTTACACCAGTTGAATGGCAGACAACTCACCTATACAAGTGTTCTCTTTTTAAGGTCTCTTTCATTAACCTTACATTTCTAGAGGAGCAGTAGTACTTAAACATCAGTGCTAACATGATAAGAACATGTTATGGGCTCCTGTGGCATTATCTATCGTAGCACATCCAAAGTGGAGAGAAACAGTGAAGGATACTGGCTCTGGGTTGACCTTTACAGATTCTTCTCTTCCAGAGCACCAGAAATGTTTTTAGAGTGCCAGAACTTCCATTGCACAGCTTGCTGGGCACAACAGTTGTGCCTCTTCTCTCTAAGCATTGCCCATGAGTAACAGAGATGTTAGCCAACATACTAAGTCTTGAGGCACTTATGCATTGTTCCCTTTTCTTATTTTTTGAAATCTATTGATCTTGCTTAAAGCCAAATGATGTATCCTGACGCATGAAGTATTCTGCACTGTCTACATGTTTTCTCTTGCCTGAGGCAGCAGGGTGGAGTGTTTGTGAGCGTCCAACCACTAACTGCTGCAGAAATTTTTCAGTTCCCACCCACTTCAGCATAGGCCTTGGGCTGTGTTTTTACTGGCTGCAATTCACTCCTCAAAAATGTTCTGACTTGTTTATAGCTGTTTAAATATTTTAAAGGAATGGCTGCTAGATTCCCAGAGTAAAACCAGTTTAGACTGCAATAGAATTTGACCTTGAGATATGGATTCTGCACTTGTAATGCTGTAAACGTCCAGTAGTTACACTGAAGTCACTAGAATGTTATCAGCATAAAGCTAAAGCAAGAGTAGAATCGTGCTGCCTTTTCTGCTGTGCAACTCGGGGCTTGCTTGGACAACCCCTTATTTTTTCCTTCCATTTTCAAGGTACCTGTCTTGAAAGGAAAAACTGAATTAATTTATTGTAGCTGAGAGGTACTGCAATTTGCCAGTACAAATGATAATAATATAAGTGCCAATTGAGTTGGTCTTCCAGTTCTTGCTGCTGCATGCGAGAATAACCAAGTGGGTGAGGCACAGAGCTAATAAAAAGGGAACAACATAAGAATGTCTTTTATTTTCATTTCGTATGTGGGATTTTCTCTGACACAGTCCTGCCAAAAATTACAGTGTTTGAAGTCTTTATGAGACTAGCAGGCAGTAAAAGGAAACAATAAACAGACCTTCAGTCTTCTTGTCTTTGGTGGAGAACTGAATGGTCATTATTTTAAGAAAATTTAAGCCTTTTGAATCTAAACCTATGCCCAGACTAGTACCTGGTACAGCTTTTTGTTGTGTGCGGTGCTCTAATCGTATTTTTGTGTTAAAGGTATTAGAGGTTGTTTTTCTAAAGGAACATGCATCTCTCTGCCCTGTAATGCTTGCTCAAGGTAGTTGTTAAATTGGGCTTGCTTACATCCTGGTGTAAAAAGCCTGTTTCAACTTTTAGAATGAGATTGGAGAGGAGAAGTTCTTGGAGAAATTGTGGGTGAAATCTGGCTTGGTCTTGGTGTCTTAATGTTCCATGTCTTCAAGTAACAGAAGCTGTTACTGGGGAAAAGTAGACTCCTTGGTGTTTGGCAGAACACAATCTTCTCTGAGAGAGACGGGCATCGCTCAGTTGAGCAGGGTCATTAGGAGCTCGGCTGAGGCATAGTAAAGCCAAAGTTCAGAAACTGGTAATGTCTCTCTCTTTACCTACTGCGTGGCATTGCAGTGTTACACTGAGTGTATTTGCATGACGTGGGTTGTAGTGGAGATTGAAGAGCTGCTTCTTTTTCTGACATCCTTGTACATAAGTTCATTTCACACTGTAACCTTTACCACCACTGTAACATTTACCTGTGCTACTGACTGGTGAAACTAAAAGCTCGGACGTGGCTTGATTGCAAGTGTAGATGGAGATAATTTGAGGTCTGTTACCCATAGACTGCAGGACTACAGGTAACATGCACTACCCAGTGGGTGCTGTGCTCGCATGCCAATCAAATGCTGCAGCAAGCAGGTAAGAACACATGGAGATGCACACCTTACATTCTTCCTGAACTCCTGGGGTCTCACTGTGGCTCTGAAGGTAGACATCAGTGATTCTTGTCTGTTACCACTTCACCAAACCTCGCTATGGTTTGTTTTAGAAAAATATCCGTAATACTGAGCCACACCTCATTCCCTCCCAAACTGCTGTGTCAGCATGCAGGATCTGAAAATACACTTCCTCCGTGTTACTAAGAAACAAAATAACTCACTTACCTACAGGTAAGTGGCTACAGAAACTCTTATGAAGTAAAAACTTAGAGGTGTTTTCCTAAGGATGAAATATGAATGAGGCATACAGAGAATTTTGCATCTTTGGATACTGGTGACAGTAAAGTGCCATTTAATTAGCTGAGGCTTCAGAGTGGCAGTGCTGTCAAATACATAACTATGCTTATACTGCAGACAGGCTCAGAATCCAAAATACTTGTGGGAGAACTGGTTGAAAGGGTTTTTGTTTTTGTTTTGTTTTGTTTTCCTGTTAATAACTTACTTAATAATTGAAGTATTATTATTGATGTAATTGATGGGGTATGGCTGTTTATTATTTGTGCAAACAAAATCCCTTCTGAGCACAGCTAGATTAGGAAAAGCATCAGCAATTGTGAAAACGTAGGAAACACACTTTTTAATATAAAGATTGAAGCAAATTCTT